ACAACTAAACATCTGCTGAAAATCAGTTCGTCGGCCACAAATTTCTCATTTACAAGATATTTAAAGGTCCTGGTCTGATATGGAGCTGGACAGATTTAGTCTCCCAACATGTTTTCTCAAAAAAATTCCTCACTTTAAACATGCTTGTATAATGATGATGATCATAATAATAATAAAATTATGATTACAATATCAACTCTAAAGAGGGCACCTGTAGTCAGGTAAAATTTGCTGAACCAAGGGGGGCGGGGGTCACAGGAAATTGCATCACATTTTGCATGATCGTCTACTATCAAAAGAGACACTCAGTTAAATTTGCCAGCTGGGGGGGGGGGGGGGGGGGGTCTTTTCCCAAAGGGCCCCCCCCCCCCCCCCCCCCTTCATTACTGCACAGGTATCAGTTACAGTCCTTATTATCTAGGAAACTCAAGAAAAGCCTTGCTGCAATTATTTATAAGGGCGGCTTACACCTACATATTGTTCAGCCTAGCTACCTTCATGGCATATTATTAAAACTGGAAAACCAAACCACTACAGCAGGGGTCACCAACATGGTGCCCACAGGCACCAGGATGTCCCCGGGCACCAGGATGCCCCCAAGGACCACATGAGTCGCCGGCGGACCTGTTCTAAAAATAGCACAACTGACCAGTGAGCAGTGACTAAAATTAAATTTTATCCTGTTGCTATTCTTCTTGATCAGTGACTTCACACAGATGACTGTCATTAATCAATAATAATAATAATAATAATAATAATAATATATAACTAAAGGTAAACTGAGGAAATTTGTTAAGAAGAGTGTATCAAACTGGCAGCCCTTCGTATGGCTCAGTACCCGTGAAGTAACTCTCAGTTTCAAGGAAACCCCTGCACTACAGCATCCAAACCATTTCATCTCTATATGCACCCTTTTAGCGCAATTTTACAGAATACAGCTAACATGCAGTCTGAATAAGCAGCAGTCTGATCTACAGGTAACTGCTCTTGGTGCTGATAACCCTCATTTATACTGTATGTGTGACTTCAGCCATGTGAATGATTTGTGTTTCTGCAAACTTACACTGAGCAACAATGTAATTAAGCCACATACATGTTCATGCATGGCGTGAAAACATACAGGTCTACTGTTTTTAATAATGGATTCAACTTTGACAGTAATCTAGTATTAATTCTGTCATGCTGATCAGTTTTATTATTATTTGCTTAAATGGCAATTTTATCCAAAGTAAGTTGTATTTTTTATTATGTTATGCAGATATAATAGTTTAGCAGACCAACATAAATGCAGCACCGGCTGGTGCCACTAGAGACTTTGGACCCCATGAAAGCATATCATATTGGGCGCTGAACCCAGACCAATCCAATTATGTTCCAAGTTCTTAATGCCCCTGTTATTCAGGTGCCCCTGGAATTGTCTTAACGATTTATGTGTATATGTAATGTTTTTTCCACTTTGTGTATGGCTGTTGCATTTATAGAAGAGTAGTCATAAACAGGGATGGACAGCGGAAATGCGTACTTATGAGCATTTGCGCGGCTATGACAAGAAAATACCTTTCATTTTATCCTGTATACCGCAAATGAAGTAGAGTTAGCATATAAAGATGAAAATGCATTATATTTTGTTTTCATATCATCGCAAATGCACATAAGTACGCATTTACACTGTTACCACAATCGATTGTCGCACGTATCATTTTTGAAAGGTTAATGCGTACTTGTGTTCCAGTTATGTCCATCCCTGCTCATGAAGTAAATTGATTTATGATATAATTTCTGTGTGCCATTCATATCAGTATTATCTTTTCCTAAATAGTAATGTTTACGCAGCAGCAGGAATTTCACAAAAACCATCAAACAAAAAAACCATACTGTACAATTTGATCCTCTCACCTCAAATAAGTGGGCAGTCTATCCAGAACATGGTCGCGGTGTAGTATAATAATGTATATAAATAAATGTAGATTACATGGATTAACAGCATTTTTCGGACTTAGCCTGTGATGCATAAAAATTTCATACATCTGTAATTCTGCTCATTCCAAATAAAAAACTAAAAATAACGTTACCGAAATTTCAGAATTCATTTTATTGCGACTTAATATACACGTGTTTCGAGAATTAAACGAGGCTTAACCCCCTTACCTTACTGTGCCAGGCATCGGTTTTGAACCAGCAACCTTATGAACTACAGAGACACACAGCACTCCATTAATGTACCGGTGTTGGTCATTTATTGGATGTTGGTTGAGTTTCCCAAAGCCTTCTTAACGCTACGTCCTACCCTTTAACCCGTTTAAAGCGTTAAGAAGAGTTGGGGAAACTCACCCGTTGTCATTTGCTGTTCTTAATAACTTTGAAACATTTGAAACTGTGATCGCACGCTTAAATTGTCGGCTGTGTTAATGACTTAATCCTTACACGTTGCGTCAATTTAATTGTTTAATTAGTCCGCTAAGCGCAATTAAGTAGATTTACGGCTAATCACTCTGCCAGGAAAAAGTCGCACAAATCTCATGCAGTCTTTAGGCAAAAAAGAAACATGCCCTCCCCTATCCCAGTAAGCCGCCTCTTGCATAAGGGGTTTGGAGCCACACTTGAAGTGGGAGCCTGCAGCTCTCCCCTGACGAGGCATGGGAAGAACATCTCCCTCCGGGTGCCCCGGCAGAACTTCCCCACCAGATGTGCGCACAAGCTCTGGTCGTCCGTGGTCAATTGGAAAGAGCTGCGGCACCTGTGCCCCATCGGATCCGGCGGCTTTGGTTCCGTGTACAAAGGCCGGTACTTCGACGAAACGGTGGCGGTGAAGAAGGTGAAAAAGTGCGCCAAAAACAAGCTGGCGTCCCGGCAGAGCTTCTGGTCGGAGCTGAACGCGGCCCATCTGCGGCACAAAAACATCGTCCGAATCATCGCAGCCACCACCTGCATTCCGCCAAGTGTGGAAAACGAGGATAATATCGGCACGATCGTGATGGAGTATGCGGGATGCGTCAGTCTGCACCATCTTATCTATTGCAGCACCAGCGAGCTGGAGATGGAGAGGTGCATGAAGTATGCATTGGGCATATCGAGCGGCATGGACTTCCTGCATTCACATTACATCGCCCACCTGGACCTGAAGCCAGCCAATGTCCTTATTACCGAAGAAGATGACTGCAAGATCGCCGATTTCGGCTGTTCCCAGAAACTGGAGCCCTGCAACCACGCATATCCAGTTACCTCCCATATAGGCGGTACCTACACCCATCGGGCACCCGAAATCCTGAAGGGATCGGAGGTTACCCTAAAAGCAGACATCTATTCTTTTGCAATAACTTTCTGGCAGCTCATAACCAGGGATCAGCCGTATGAAGGGGAGCGCCAGGCTGTGCTGTATGCAGTAGTTGCTTTTGATCTGCGACCGAAGTTAACAGGCGAGGTTTTCATGGAGTCCAGCCTGGGTAAAAAGTGCCGGTCCCTCATCTGTAGGTGCTGGACCGGCGATCCAGCCCAAAGACCCAGTTCCAAGGAAGTCTTAAGCGAGATCGAGACCATGCACATGTCAACCTTTAAAGTGCCTTGACCAAGATCAAGTTGTACTTTTTAAATGGAAATGAGCATTGTTGAACTTGCGTTTTAGTGGTGCCTAAATTTTAACCAACGTGTTTGCACGACATGTTTGCTTTTCAGCCTAATTTACGGAGATGCCCTTTATATCCCTGCAAAAAAATCCATTATTGGGCTAAATGAGATTCACAAGCCAGGTCGTAAAATATAACACCGTTTTTACACGCTTCAATCGAACCTTTTGAAAAGATTTTGTATATCTTTATTTTCTATGTGATTTTGGTCATTGGGCGAAAAACTGTCCCCCCGTTCTGATTAATGTGATTAAATCTCGCAAAAGACGTCTCCTACTATTGATTATTTTGTAAAATGCTTGTTTGCTATTGTGGTTTTTGTACGTTTATCATGGGTGCTCGCTTACGACTCCCTAGAAAGACTTGTGTTGTATAAAACTTAATTAAAACACTGTTTTGTTTTAACTCTGCTGTTGTCAGTGTTTTAACTACGTGTTTCTCTTAAGCACCACAACTTAGAGAATTTGCATTTTTCTGCTTCTTGACTATAAGGATTCCTTTTAAAAATTCAAAATAATTAAATTATAGGCGCCAAATTTAAGGTAGTGCTCGGGTTACCGTACTGATTTCCGTATAATTTAAAAAATCTTTCAGGTGTTACTTGGGAACTTAAATGAAACAGACCGAAACAAAGTTTCTACCAGGTTTAAAATAAAGAATATAGGTTTGTATTTTCATGAAGTTAAGCTGTTATCGGCAGGGCTGCCAACTTTGGTCAGCGGGCCGGAGTAAGATTTTCAATTCAAGTCTGCATGTATATGTATGTAACAGTTTTATTACCGTGTAAATAGTCTGTAGGGTTTGCAAACTGTCCTAATGCTTTTGATGTAGCTAATTTTAGGTTTATAATGGAATAATAGATTTGCCGTAAGATTTCTCGTGTGAGTGTCATGCCAGATGCGTGAGAGTTGGCAACCCGTATGGGGGGAACTTTTTCTGAAAAGGTGCATGAGGGTAATTCAGGAATGGTGATATACTGACAAATATGCACAAACTACTAAAACAAACCTGACAAAGTTTCCACAAAACCGTCAGGTCAGGCAGGGAAGCATGCAGCACACGACAAAACACCTCAGGATCGCGCTTGGCAGCCCCCAGACTCCATAACAAACATTGTCGTCTCGCTTTTTTACACATCAGCTACACGCGCTCGCGTCCGCTACCGGTGTTATTTTTTTGTTTTTTTTAAAAGTGATCAGCGTCAAACCGGCTTTATGACGCGAGTTCCATTCCTGAGTCAGTTTCTCTGCTTATAAAGAATGGCTGACTTGAGAAGAGACCTGAATTAGCCGATCCTGGATCAGTATGGTCGGTTATCCGAAATTTTGCCGCCACGCGTTTCTGCATCGTCATTGGCAGCTGCGCTTGGGTCGAAGGTGACCAAGGACCCGTATGTCGTATATAATTAAACTGCAGGCCTTCATCCTGCCCTTTTCGTGAAGAGCTTTCAGGCGGCAGGTCTCGCTTCCTGGCTCACCGCTGTTCGCCAAAAACGTTTTACGAATAAGTCGGTCAGGAACGATTAAATATGGTGAGACGGTCACTTTTAAGATGTTTTGTAATACCCCCGCTTCTGCACAGATGTAGTATTTAATAAAACACGTCTTATGACTGTTCGGCCGCACGTGTTTCAAGAGTACTTAGTAGCTACTAGCATTAGATTAATTATGATGTGCCCAGATGGTTGTGTTTCTGTATTTTTATAATATTTAAACTAAGAAAATAAATTTGGCGCACACTGGATAACTGATTTTTACATGACTTGGCTTATTGTAATTACTCCGAGTTAAGGAAGACATTCCATAATGTGTGTAGTATCCACACTGCCTGCCATGCCCCTTTACCCATTCATAGGAACTTATAATAATTATGTTCGACGACTTAAGGATGGTATTATGGTGTCATACATGTATAAAATTACAAAGTGATATTCTTGCGTTCTTTAGGCCTTTAAGGACACTGGGAAGGCGCCGGTTGAAGCTGAGGTTGCCATTCATCGCATCCGAATCACTCTTACCAGCCGCAATGTGAAGTCCCTGGAGAAGGGTAAGACTATCGGGACTTTTTTCCCCACTTTCAGCGGACTTTTAATGGATTTCCTGACTTATGCTACAAAGTGTTGGTTTCCTGATTTGGCAATGAGGATGAAACTTGATATATGAAATATGCTGATTTTTCTATACGCTATTCTGAGCCATTGGTGATGGAAGACTAGAGTGGAATTGATTTGGTAGAAAGGAGATTACCTTTGGTGTATCTGTGTTTTCAGTGTGTGCTGACTTGATCCGAGGTGCCAAGGAGAAGAACCTTAAGGTCAAGGGGCCAGTCCGTATGCCTACCAAGGTATGTCTCAGTGTGGGATGTAAATGACTTTTGATGATGTGGTTAGGGGCCTTGTTCCAAGGCTCAATAGTTTAACCACTGCCAGCCATCGGATTTGAATCTGCAACCTTATGACCAGACCGACGTAGGCTACAGCGATACACAACACTCCTAATTTTTTGGATGTTGTGCCATTTGGTTGTCAGGTACAGGTGTTGTCTGCCTGACAGCTGAATTACCCAACATCTGCCTTGGCTATTCTTGGAATGGAAAAAAAACTTAACTACATTGTGTGGAGCAGAGAAGGGAGCCTTTTAGCTGATCGCCAACCTAATTACCTGTACTTCGCCTACCCTTCAGACCCTGCGCATCACCACCAGGAAGACTCCTTGCGGTGAAGGTTCCAAAACTTGGGATCGCTTCCAGATGCGCATCCACAAGAGGCTCATCGATCTGCGCAGTCCGTCTGAGATCGTCAAGCAGATCACCTCCATCAGCATCGAGCCCGGCGTAGAAGTTGAGGTCACCATCGCTGATGCATAAATTTCCCAATAAAAGATTGAAATGAGGAACTGACTGGGTTTTGTTTTTTTTTTACATGAAATTAAGTTTTATGTGTACAAGTAGAATTAAGTGATCAGTGGTCATTGTTGACACACCACAGCACACAATGAAGTGTCCTCTGCATTTAACCTATATATGACATCGTGACAAGAACTAAGAACTATACAAACGAGAGGAGGCCATTTGGCCCATAGCAGAGGGCAGCTAATTCAGTGTGCGGGGAGCAGTGCCTTACTGGTCAGGGATTCAGACCAATCTTTCAATTACAAGTGTGCCTCCCTAACCGTTAAGCTGCCACTGCCCTCAATATTTAAGAGTTGTACTGCTTGGGATTTGCACCCAGGACCTCGTTTGCCAGAGGCAGGGCTCATACCGCTGCACCAATGAGGGGTGCTACAGTAGTACATTAGGAGGTGTTTGTGCATATCTGCCGTGATCTTTGAGATGTCCAGATGCAGATGAGTGAAGCTGGGGGTCAGAGGTCAGCATCTTTTCATCCAGTGTTCATGGAGCAAGATTCAGTCTGTTAAGAACCTGGCTGAGATACTCATTGGAATGTGGCAACTCTGCCAATCATGGGATTCGAACCAGTAATATGAGCACACCGGTCTGAGCCATGCATTGCCTCAATTGTTAAAGCCTTCATTTTTGTGTGGGTCTTTCAAAGTCTATTGCTAGGATATGGCAGAGACATTGTGACACATCTAAATATTAATCTTTTTTTGTTGAATTGGTTTTTCAGATAATTTTCTAGTAAATAATACCTGTTGAGTCTGCAAATATGTTTCAAAAGATGAGGGGATATTCTGAAGTTAGTTTAATACTTTTAATATAAACTTGAACTGTAAAAGTAAGCAACGTTACAATGGATAATACAATCATATGGGTGTGAACATGTATGTCTTTTCCCCCTTAGGATATTTAAGACTGGACCAACTTTGTGTGGACCAGAACGGGTATACAGCTATGTTAATGTCACACCTAAGCGATATCAGCAATAAAATATTAATATTTTTAAATCATAAATGATTATGGAAAACTGTGGCACAAAATCACTGACTCCAGACAAAATCATTTTATTTTAAGCAGACGTCAATGAAACAAGAACATACTCGTTGCATATGAACACGCATCTGTTGCGGACCAGCTTTGCGGATGTTTCATGCTGATATTCGCGACCGTCCTATAAGTTACCCGATATCCGCTTCTTGAAACCCGGTGATCAGTGACCAGGGGTGGGGCTGAGCACCTGAATTCAATTAGACGGGAGGCCTTAACGATTACTAGTACTAGCTTCGTCTAGTACTGTGCCTACTTTGCCCAGGTCATTAGCGAAAGAGATTGCAGTTTAGGTTGGTATTTATTTTTTACAATAATAAAGAAAAGAAAAACCAAGAAAGGGCAAGCAACCATATAGCTGCAGAACAGAGTGACTGCCAAACGTAGATGTTAACTACGGCTATCTATTTTCTAAACAAAGTAAGTATATTTCATAGAATGTAACGCCGTCTCGTAAAGCGGTGGGATCCGCGATCGCTCTCACCTTTTGTTACTCTTGTGTCCCCAGCCATGTCCATGTTGATCGACCTGACGGACGAATGCACGGTTCTCGTCCATCCCGACATGGATGCCATGCAGTCCACCTGCAATGGACTCCACCCCGGCAACCCGCACGACGGCATGCTTTCGGAGCTGTCCACTATCTCCTCTATTGTCTCAGCTCAGGTTCTATCTAACTTACTTTCTTTCTGTTTCTCTTCGTTCCATAACCTCTGTCTTGGTTTTAAGTAAAATGTAGGCCTACGTACCTCTAGATCTTTGTCCACCTGATTTTTTTTTTTATTTTTTTATTTATTTATTTTTTTTTTCTCATTTCTTTCCGGACTTAATCGTCAAAATGTTGTGCAAAGTAAGGTTTGAGCTTCGTATAAACCGTAACCCAAGGCTCGGTTTCTGTCTCGTTTAGAGTGACACGGGTAGTAATACTGAACACCAGCAGCTGAAGGTGTATTTAAGGGTCCGACCCTTTTCCCAAGAAGAGCTTGCCTGCGATGAAGACAAAGTGAGTATAGAATTCTGTGTTAAAGAAACCCATATTTTGAAGCTTGCTATAGATTTAAATAAATGGTTTTATTTTTAACCTGAATTTTCCTTAGGGATGCATAGTGCTGGCCGATTCCGAATCTGTTAAACTGCAAGCTCCGAAAGGGTCTGCGACTATGAAGAGCAGTGAGAAGGGCATTGGACGGTCTGTGCATAAATTCTCCTTTTCCCAGGTAGGATCCTCCATTTTCATATCAACTTAAAAACGAACACTTGTGCTGCTTTGGAACATGCTGCCTGTCTTCCTGATGTTGGCCGTTTCCTGGAAACAGTCAGACCCTGTACCTCAGGTTCCTCATTTCCTGCAGATCTTTGGGTCTGGCACCAGTCAGGCAACCTTCTTTGAAAACACTATAAAAAGTCAAGTGCTGGATTATTTGGAGGGGAAAAATGCTCTCATCTTCACCTATGGGGTGACAAATGCAGGGAAAACCTATACAATCCAAGGTAATTATTTTAAATTATGATTCTTCATTCTGCTGTTCATTTTTTGTCTTGCACCGAACGTGGATTATTACACTCTTCCAAAACTTGCGTAGGCTCCCCAAAAGACCCCGGAATCCTGCCTCGTGCACTGGATGTCATCTTTGACTACATTAAGGGCAAGCAGTATGATCAAATGGACCTGAAACCTTATCTCAGCTGTGATGTCCAGTACCTGGGTCCAGACCAAGTGAAGCAGGAAAGAAATGTGAAAGCAGCAGTCTTTTCCTTGCTCAAGGAGGTACGTGTCTGTCAGCGCCGTCTTGGCAGTCCCTCCTGCCCGTTGAGAAGCTCTAATGGTGGTTTTGGCGCTGTAGCGTGTGCTTCAGTGTATGTATGGTTACACTGTCAACCCGTTGTAAACTCTTCTGTTTCTCAAACAGGAAAACGATCAACATTCAAAGAGTTCCTCTAGTTCCTCAACGTCTTTCACGTCCAGCATCTCTTTTTCCTCAGTTTCATATGACCAAACAGGTAATGTATAATCGATCATCTGGAGTCTAGAGTACTTGAGTTGGCAAATTCCTGTCTTGCAATATCCTTCTCCCTGCAACCCAGTGGACTCGACAGATGCTGTGGTCGATAAGGACAGGCACCAGTTTGCAGTGTGGGTTGCCTTCTATGAGATCTACAACGAGTTTGTGTATGATCTCCTGGAGTCCCTCCCATGTGTTAAGGCCAAAAAACGCAGTGCTCTGAGGGTCTGTGAGGACAGTGTGGGGAACTCGTATGTCCGAGGCAAGTTTTTTTACTTGGGCTGTGTGTGAGTGCATGCGCTTTGCTCTTTAATGTATGGTAGTTGGTAAATTCTCCTTGGTTTTAATGAAACCTTGGGGAAATCCTGCTTTTATGTGGTTGCTTTCTATAATGGTAGCTTAAACATGGTGACTTGAAAAGCAGTAGGCTTTGGAGGTTTGAAGCTAATGTTTTGATCTGGTTTCAGATTTAAAGTGGATTAATGTCCATAGCTCCGAGGAAGCGTGGAGGGTTCTGAAAATTGGTAACCGGAACCGAAGTGCTGCTTCAACAAAGTTGAATCAGTCATCTAGTAGAAGGCAAGTACATGTGACTCAGGTTAGCTTCTCTAAGGCAGCTGGGAAATGTAGTTCTAAAAGTTTGTGGGAAAACCTTTAAATGTGTGGTTTTTTTTTTTTTTTATTAAAGCCACAGCATATTTGCCATCAAACTCCTCAGAATCACAGGAACTGAAGTTTCGAGGGTGACAGAGTAAGTACTGAATATTGCTCCTGAGATCTGTGGGGAAAATGCCCCACTTCTTTAATTGCCCATGTTGCCCCAGGCTGTCCCTCTGCGATTTGGCTGGCTCTGAGAGATGCACCAAGACCAAGACTTTCGGAGAGCGTCTCAAAGAAGCAGGGAATATCAACAACTCGTTGCTCATCCTGGGGAAGTGTATAGCAGCACTACGCAACAACCAGAGCGACAGGTATCATTCCTAATTGGAGCTCATCGTCACTACCTCACTCATAACAATGTTCAGGATGAGATGCCACTTTCAAAGACTGGGGCAATTCCATGCAAAGGGATGCTGGAATTTCCCATTGACCAGCTCAAGAGAGTGTGTGTGTGTGTGTTGCATGATGCTTTGGTTCAGGCTTCTCCCCATAGACCCCCGATAATGGCTTTCACTTCCTGCTTCTAGAATAAAGGGTGGCTATGTCCCTTTTCGCGAGAGCAAACTGACCAGGCTGTTCCAGTCCATCTTCTGCGGGAAAGGCCGGGCCTGCATGATCGTCAACATCAATCAGTGCGCCTCCACCTATGATGAGACCCTTCATGTCATGAAGTTCTCTGCGGTGGCCAAGCAGGTCCCTTTTTAAAATCATTTTACTGGCAAACTGTCATGCATGGAAACCACTGCTTCATTAGTAGTGGTCTCAGCTACTAAAAGCGATATCAGTACGATCAGTACACGAGCGTCTATCTGGATACTCTAGAATCCAGAATTATGGGTGCATTCTGAAATCTGTTGCTGAAATTTTAAGCGTTTTGCACCAACCAGATGCCGTTGGTCATTGATCTGTCAGGTTGTCCAGATCGTACCCCCAAAGTCCCTGGAGTGTATTGCTCCAAAACTAGTGGGTCCACATGGGAAAGCACTTCTGAGGAATGGGATCATAGATGAAGAGGCACTGGACAGCTACCTTTCAGAGGATGAGCTCCTGGATGATGAAGATGAAGGAGATATGTCCATCCTCCCTCAAGAGGTACTGGAGAGATCTGGTTCCCATCATAGCATCCTCATTGAGGACAATGGGAGATGCTCATTCTGCGCCTGCCCCCCCCCCCCAAATTAAAGGATCTCTTGGGCATCATTGAGAACCTTAAAGAGAAGCTGCTTGCAGAACGTCGCAGGAACCTGGTGCAGGAGATCGAGATCCGTAAGGAGATGGGTGACGCCATGCTGCAGCAGTTGATGGAGAGTGAGGAGCTGCAGAGGTCAGGCCTGCAGGCCAAGGATAGTCATTCAGACAATCGCTAATATCGCTTGTTAATTGTGGAGTAGGGATTTGGCATTGGACTTTCTGAACTTGTGGGGAAATTGACTTGTGCAGTGGGTTTTTTTTAATTTATTTTTTTATTGTGTACTAGTGGCATCACCAAAATGAAAGGTGGTGATGGTAAAAGCAAGAGACCTTCACATACCACTAGAGGGAGCTAAAATTTCACAAATGGTGACCAGTAGCTAACCTTCCTAAACTCCTAAGAAGCCTTTGGCTCTGTAATGTATATATTTTATATATTTTTGACTCTTCATAATATGCATGGAAATGGGATGTGTCTGCGCCCCCCTGCCTTCCCCCCCACATCAGCCGTAAAATGGCAGAGCTGAAGGAGAGCTATCAGGAGAAGCTGGAGAACACCTTCGAGCTGTACAAGGATGCTCTGAAGGAGCACGCCTACCAGTGTGCTCTGGAGCGTGTTGAGGAAGAGTACATACCGGTGGATGAGTTCATCGCCGAGCAGGAGAAGGTTGAGGTAGATTTGCCTTCTGTTCTCTATACTATTGTGATTTTTGGTCCTTGTGTGAAAGCACTTGTCATTACCTCCCTGGTATGAGGATGGTTATACTGTTCCAGTAGAGCCAGAGTTATTCTGAACTGTAACGGAAGCATCAAATGGTTGCTTTGACTTTGGCTCCTGCCATGTAATGTCATGGTTAAATCCCTGATGGTAAAGAGGAACACGTCCTGTTTCGTAGTGGTACGTATAGTATGAGATGTGAGCGAAAACAATGTCCACTACAGTGGATAAAGTGTTTGCTGGACTTCAGGCGGACATTAGACCTAACTGAACTCCCTCATATCTACAAATGAAGGGTCATTATGGTGACACCTACTTTGAAGATCTCTAACATCACAACTAACAAATGCACTGCAACACTATCAGGGCCAAGTCATGCTTTTACTGGACTGCTTTGTAGGTATTTGACACAGGTGCTGGTCATTTGCCAAAGTATCAAAGTTGAAGATCTTAAGTGGGTCACAGGTGTCACCCCTGTTCAGGAACTGAAGGTGAAGCTGTCTGAAGCAGAGCAGAGACTCCGGAGTCTCTTGCGGACCCCTTCGGCTGCCCTCAGTTCAGATCAGGCGTGCCAGTGCTCCCTAGAGGCTGAGGACAGAGCTGCAGGTACAGTAACACTCGGAGCCCCTAGATTTCTTTTGATGGGCAGCTAAGCATAAATCGACCTGGTTAAACACTGATTCTTTTAGTTCTCTTAAACCATGGTAGTTTCAGTTCATTCTAAGATGCTTCTGTCTTGGTCCCATATTCAGCCGAGAAGAAATATGAGGAAATGTACCAGGCAAAATGTGCAGTTGAAGAGCTCTGTGGCACCAAAGATGAGGTATGATCACTGACATCGTGTGGGGGGGGAAAAGCTCCTTGGCTTTGTCTTTTCAAGGTGTCTCTTTGCCACAGGTGATTACATCTTTGGAAAAGCAGATTCAGGACTTGGCAGAGACCATCCAGGAAGCTGGGGAAAGCTTTATGGAGAAAGAAGCTGAGCTTGAGAAGCTTCAGAAGATGCTTTCTGAGAGGGTAACTGGATGACAATATTGCATCTGCTTGGGACAAACTTCAGAATTCCAAAGCTAGTTCAGTCATCCGGCATTTAAATGGTTTTAATCAACAGGATAATGAAGCAGCTTTTGAAGCATGCATATGTAGTGGGGGGGCCCCCCTGGTGGCCACAAAAATTCAGCATGCTAAATATTAAATGCATTCCGTATTTAAGGGGAAATGAGGCATGCTGTGCTGGCAAGCCACAATCTTCTGGGAGTGCTTGCTTTGAAACAGCTGGGGGAGGGGGGCAAAAGTGAATTGAGTGGGTGTGTATGTGTCGTCGTCCCCCCCCCCCCAGAATGACACACCTGATACTGGGAGGCATCTAGGGGCACATTGGACCACTCACCTGGGTCCCTGCTGGGCATGTGTGGTGCACTTTCTCAGATCTGGGTGTTTATTGGGTGCTGCCCTGCATTTGCCCTCCTCCAATAGGACCGTGAGATCGACGGGCTGCGGAGGGACCTGGCCGAGCAGGACAGGAGGGTGTCCCTCCTGTCAGAGGAGCAGGCCCTGCGTTCTAAGGAGTCCCCAACCAAAAGGAAAACCAGAAAGGGTCTCTTGGCCAACCTCAAGGAATCGGTCACGTCTCCCAGAAAAGGAGCACTTGGACGGACTATGAAGTCCGTTAAAGCCACACCTGTAACACTCAAGAAGAAGCCCTTCCTTTAAGCACTCAGCATGTTTTTAGTTGTATTTTTAAATAAATTATTTTTAAAACCACTCTGTCTCTCCCCATCTTTGCCTGTTAGTTCATGGTTGATGTGGTTCATACAAGTTCCTGTTAACTTGCCTTCATCTGATTGGTCACCATAGCAGTTAAACTGGAATGCTGGGAAATCAGGATTATAGAAGGCTGGGAATCTTCTCACCTTCAGCTGTTTGGATGTTTGGGGGGGGGGGGCGCAGAGCCTAAGGGTGCTCATATTAGAGATTCCCTGAAAATTCTGGAACATCAGTACAAATTATTGCATAAGTAGCTTATATTAATCTTTATATACAGTGTTTAATTTACAGCAATTGTAACATGGCTTATGTTTAGGCAATGGGAATCAGGAAAGGTATTGATACAAAACCATTATTTTTTTTTTGGTCCACATTCCAAAGTGAGCAATTCTAGCTTGCCATGTCATCTTTCCCTTTTTTTTTTTTTTTTTTTTTTTTGGGGGGGGGCATTTCTCTGTGTCTTGCTCCTTGTACATGTAGATAAGGTGGCACCCTCTCCCTGCCGATAGCCCCCATTGCCTTGCCGCTCTTGTAGGCGGTCCGAACCGGCCCTTGTAACTTGTCCTTGGAGAAAGTTAGATTTGGTTGGATGATTGACAAAGGCATAGTCTTTAAGGTATAGGAAATAGAAAAGCAGTTTGTTGGGTTAGCTCCATCCTTCGAAAGTTTTTTTTGGCTTGCATAAAAGCAAATGGTTACAGTTGTCTGATTATTGGGTGTTTCAGTCAGTCACAAACGTTTGTCCCATCCCGAGCTGTCTCAGCACCGCCACCTATGGCTGCTGCTGGTACTGTGACTCAGTGGCTGTGTAAAAGTCATCTAGTACACTCTGCATGTAGTCGAAGGTGGGCCTGTCCTCTGGCTTGTCCTTCCAGCACGTCGTCATGAGTTCGTAGAGCTGGGCGGGACAGTCCTCAGGGATGGGCATTCGATATCCTTTCTGCAGATTCGTCATAACTTCACTGTTGCTCATGCCTTTGTGTAAAGGACATTTCATTTGGACCAATTTAAAACTTAGACTTTGAGACGATCACATTCTGACTAAATCTTTTAGTGGAAAAAGGACACAGATATGTACAGATAATGTAGGACAGCTTAATCTATCCTATATGTTTGTATCAATCATACCTTTTCAAAAAAGTGTTAATTTCCTGCAGTTGCAAAATCACACCACTAGATGCCGCTCTAATACATACAGTCATTGATTTTGCCCTGAAAAGACAAGAAAGTAAACTTCCTGCATCTTTCTGCGTGCTCACTCACCTGGATAAGGATTTTTTCCATATGTGATGATTTCATATAGAAGGATTCCAAATGACCACATGTCTGACTTTATGGTAAACGACCCATAGTTAATGGCCTCTGGGGCGGTCCATTTAATAGGGAACTTTGCTCCTGTAACAAATCAAGTGCTTCGTTATGATGAGGGTTAACAGAGTAGCCAATCAAAGTGACCGAATGTCGTGATAAAGGTTTCACACCATTTGGTCTTTCTGGGTGTTTATCTAGTAGGTGTACTGTATATTTCTATACCAGCACACCCTAAAGCTCACTCTATCTATGTAAAACAAGACATTTCGGTGATCTGAAAGCAGGGGCAATTCTAGCCAATGATATATTTTGAGCTAGTGAGTGACAGAGGAGGTGGCATTCTGGGGTCCAATCAGCTATCCGCTACGGGCAGTATCCCCATGGCCCCGCCCCCATATATCATGTTAAACATCTTAAATGTGATGTCAGAAAGCATACCCTCTCTTGCAGTGTACTCGTTATCCTCGATGATGCGCGCCAGGCCGAAATCAGCGATTTTGCACAGCAGGCAGTCGGAGACGAGGACGTTGGCAGCCCGCAGGTCCCTGTGAATGTAGTGCTTCTTCTCGATGTAGGCCATGCCCTCGGCGATCTGCGACCACAGCGACAGACAAATCTGAGCCAAATGTGTGTTGGCTTCTCCAAGCAGCTCAACGGTGCCTGACTCTTAATTATATCCTCAGTACATATCAGCCGACTCTGGATCAAAGCTGTGTTTGTTATGATGGCTTCACTGTAAGCATATAAGATTATAATCCATTCACATCCATTCAGCTTATAGGCAATGCATAAGTGAAAGTATGGCCACACCTACTGAAAATCATTTGTTTTTCAACAAGATAATGCACACCTAAACTCACCTCAAAGTGATGTAAGTACTGTATTATGAACAAGGAAAGAGGTGGAGTGCTGTGACAGATGACCTGGCCCCCACAGTCCCCCCCCCCAACCTAAACCCTATAGCTTTGGGATGAGCTGGATTAAAGAGTAAGATAGAAAGTATGAAAAAGCCTGACCTCAACCCAGCTGATTACCGCGGTCCTGGCAATGTGAGAACTGCATGTACGAAACACGTGATGTTGGAATTAATAATGCACATCGCCCAGTCCTATAATATACTACAGCCATTTTTCAAATTCAGTACAAAATACCCCACTTCAAATTGTGGTGTCATTCGCCACCGATACAAGTTTTTATGCCAGTGGAAAACCAACACCTTGAAGTATCGTCCTTTTGGTATTTGATTGAAGTACCAAATGTATGGTACCTGGTGCAGTGGAAAAGCGCCCTTGGTCCATTCAGTACTCGACATATATTATAGCACTTCATTGTCTTGCCTTTTACCATGAAGTGAATAAAAAAGAGACAAATGTATTAAAGGCAGGTGTGTCCAGACTATTAACTGGTTCTGTATAATATAAAAACCCATCCTTATCTAGGGGCTAGAACCAGAAAACATGAGAATACCCCAGACTAAATCCTTGTTAATCTTGGGGAGGGGGCACAGAATTCCAAGATTCAATGAACCACATAATTTTGGAGGAAACTAGAATATGCTGAGAAAACCTGCACAACATGGGGAGAGCATACAGTGGGATTTTACAGCAGTGGGATTTGAACCCACAACCTTGAAGTACTGCCCATTGAGCCATTCTAGTACATGAAATATTACATCTAGCATATACATCATAAAATATTATAACCAGGGGGGCTGGTGTGTGGCTCAGTGGTTTAGGACTGCTTGCCAGTGATCAGAAGGTTCCTGCTTCAAATCCCAGTGACAATGGAGTGATGTCACCATTGGACCCCTGAGGAAAGCCCTTAACCCCCATTTGCTCCGGGACTGACTGGTCCCTGCCTTCTCAAAAATAAAAATGTTTTTAAAAGGTGCCAGCTTAAATAAAGTAATGTTTATATTAAATATAAATAGTAAAAATATATAACTATAAGAAAGGTTGCACACTGTCATCTCACAGTGNACATGAAATATTACATCTAGCATATACATCGTAAAATATTATAACCAGGGGGGCTGGTGTGTGGCTCAGTGGTTTAGGACTGCTTGCCAGTGATCGGAAGGTCGCCGATTCAAATCCCACAGTTGGTGGAATGATGTCACTGTTAGTTCCCTGAGGAAGACCCCCCCCCCCCAGTTGCTCCAGGGACTGACTGGTCTTACTCTTTCAATTGTATATTGCTTTGGACAAAGGTGCCAGCTTAAATAAAGTAATGTTTATATTAAATATAAATAGTAAAAATATATAACTATAAGAAAGGTTGCACACTGTCATCTCACAGTGCCGTTTAGCTTCCAAGAAAGTCAGAATGTACTGTAATGATGAATAACTGGTCACCATGGTGACCTGACTGCGATTTCACTTCCCCTGAAACCCGAGGTCCCCTTTCGCTCTCAGTTCAGGAAACTACTATTCTGCTTCTCCTAACGCCCTGGCAGGGGGGGGTATCACTGAGAGGCCGGGACAGAAGATCTCACGGCCCACGGCACATGTGCTTGTCTCCTGAAGTTACTATTTTATCACTTTATCTGTGCTTTAGATGGCACTAGACTTCTTTATTGTTCTTCGATGAAGCATGTATTGCTATTGTAAGGAACTTGCAGAAAATTTAGTCTCTCTACACTTTCCATCTTGTATTTGTCCCAACCACACCCATGTATATTCTGTTTATCTACCTAAAAGTTGATTTACTTTTTAAAATAATGAAATTAATCATGCAGGCGAGCTGGTGGTGAAATTTAACAAACACATGAAATGGCTGTGGTGCCTCTGAGGAGAGGTTTGGGAACCGAAGTGATCATCTAAGCATCCGACAAAATATCAGTGGCTTTTTGGAGAACAGAAGAAATTCCTGTTCGCTTTTTTTTTTTTTTACTTTTAATTTGCATACATTCTAATGTGAAATTGTGTTTTTTTTTTGTGGAGATATACACTTGCTACCTAGATAAATAGCCTTTGACTTTTGCACAATCCCACATACGTATGAATAAATAAGATCGTATAAATAATACGAAAAAACTACGATCACTAAGGAAGCGTCACTCATTTGACTGCGGCCGGTGGTGGCAGTGACGCAATTTGATTTCTGCTTTGGGTTCGCGGTGGAAAAACTGACGAGACAGTCCTTCAAAAAAATGCAGAATGGAGCGGAAACCGCATCGGCCGAGCGGGAAGACCTTGCTCCGGCCCGGCCGACACGATCTCTGCTCTAATGCTCGTACCTGTGCAGAAAAATCGATGAGCTTGGGCAATAGCACCTTCCTGCCGTCGTTGCTTTTTAGGAAGTCTAGCAGACTGCCTGAAAAAAGAGACGCAGATGAACGGACATCCAGCAACATGCAGGCACATGGACCGTATGTCTATAAATAAGAAACAGTGGTGGCAGTGATGCAGTGCTGACCCGTTTCACACACCCAGGGGATCTTACAGTTATCAGATGTATGAAAACAGGAGTGATTCAAAATTAGCACACAGGATAATGATGTCACTAACAGCACTGATGAATAATTTTTTATAAACGTGCAGACTCAATGGCCGCTTTGTGCGATAAACCAGATGGTTAAGGTAAACATCTTGCCGTACAATCCCAAAAATCACGCGACTGCAGCTGAATATTACAGCAGGCAGACAGGGTTAGGAGGGTGAGTGTGTTACTGTAAGTGACTTTGGGATTTTCACGTACTACGTTGTCTGGGGTTTACAGAGGATGGCGTGAGGAACAAATAACATCTAGTCAGGGGCAGCTCTGTGGTTGCGGACACCTTGTTAATGAGAGAAGACTGGAGGACGGCCAGACTTGGGATGGTCTAAGCAGGTTAAATATCTGTGTCTGGAAGGTTGTGCTTTCGAATCCTAAAGCCAGCAGTGATGATGTCATCACTGGGCTATTGAGCAAGAACCCTAACCCCAACTGCTCCAAGGGTGTTGGCTGCTCTGTCTCAAAACCTGCCTGTGTCTTTCGTACAGAATACGATAGCTTACATGAAGACCAGCCAATTTACTCACAAGAATGAATACAACTATTTTATAATGTCAACGGCCAGAAGTGCAGAAATACCACACAACATGTGAACTGGTTCTGGGGGCAAAAGTGGGTCCAATCTGATACCAGCTAGGTGTACGTGTACCTAACAAAGTGGGTCCAATCTGACACCAGCTAGGTGTACCTAACAAAGTGGGTCCAATCTGATACCAGCTAGGTGTACCTAACAAAGTGGGTCCAATCTGATACCAGCTAGGTGTACCTAACAACGTGGGATGAGTGTGGTGTGTGTCGGTGGAAGGCCGGGAGCGGTCAGGCTACCATTGGCCATGAATTCGGTGATGATGTAGATGGGCTCGGTCTTGGTCACCACGGCGTAGAGCCGCACCAGCCGGTCGTGCCTCAGCGTCTTCATCAGGTTGGCCTCCTCCATGAAGGCCTCCACCGACATGGTGCCCTGCTTCAGCGTCTTCACCGCCACCGTCGTGTTGTTTTTGTAAGATGCTGCAAGGCCGTGACGAGGAAGGGGGGTTAAAGGTCAGCCGTTTGAGGGGCCTGACACCCCGCAATGTCTGCCACTCATTCAACACACTGCGCAGAAGAGCAAGGCAAGTGGAAGTGTTCATCCCAGGAGTCACAAGCCATCCTAGCTGAATATTCACTACTATCCATGCATCCATCCATCCATCCAACCTCTTACTCAGTACAAGGCATCAGTTGAACCAAGACTCTGTCTCAGACAGAACAGAGCTCAAGCCAGAGGTACATTATATTGTTTTAAACTGAGCTACTCTGCAAGAATCGTGGATCCCACAAAACACCACAGAAACGAGATCTATGACAATAACAGCTGAATGAACAGCTGTTCCATCATAAGGGACGTGCTACAGATTAGGGGGGAGGTGCAGAGCTCCTGCAGGGGCAGCAGGCATACGGAAGACTTCAGAGTGGGTGTTATTTGCACGCCGTGAATACAGAAAAAACAGAGCTTGAGGAACAAGCACAAGACAAACAGGGAAACCCAGGAGGTGTGAGACTGCAGTGCTACCAAAGGAAACCCTGCTCTATCCAGCTTTGTTAAACAGCCAACAGCATAAGGGTAAGAATAAGGATCTCAATCAGTTTGTAGAGTTTTTTTGCAGAGTGCTTGGTATATTTACTTAGTTTGGACTATTATGGACTGAAGGATGCAGCCCCTGAATTCACACTCATCACACTCGTCACACTCATCACACTCGTCACACTCATCACACTCGTCACACTGCTCCACAACGCCCATTAATCCAAAACAGGAAAGAATAATAATAATGATCATGATGATAATAATAATAATAATTAAAAAGCTAAATGTTCCGAATAATACTGATAATATAAGCCTTTAAAATTATGAATATTAAACATGTTTTATATTTAAAAGATATCCAGTGGGATTGAAGAAAATGCTAAATGACTAGGATCATCTTAATCCTTCAGTAAAAACTGCAGCATTAACGGGGATTAATCAGCAGCCTCCGAATACGTAGCAGCACCTCCGGAGGTACTAAATTGTTTGCCTTGTTAGCAATTAAAATAAAATCCTTAATGGAGAGACACAAATTCAGATGGCTTGGCCAATTCCTACAGGATGTAAGATAAACAACGAGGTATGGTCATGTTTGGGAACCTCCCCCCATGGGGTGTGGGTGTCCACAAAGCCATCGTCTTCCTGAAATTGAAACATCCTATGAATAATCACGACAAACCCCATCATAGATAATCCACGGGGCAGACTCTGGTTTGCGCTCGGCGACTGGGGCACTGCACGGGGCAGCCTCTGGTTTGCGCTCGGCCACTCATTGTCATAGTTATCTCCTGAGGTGATTCGTATCAGCATTGTGTGACACACACACATACTAAAAACTGAAACTGTCCTAAATAGATTGATTCACCAGTGAAACATATGTACGGGACTGTACCAACATCACATTCTACTCTCGAGGCCCAGTCATTTACAGATGATGAGTGTGTTTAGATTAAGTGCCTCGTTAACTATGGTCTGTCTTCAGTTTCAGCAGCCAGTTAGCTGTGTTCAGGAAGCCTGGAGATCAGGGTCACATGTTCCTGTGTATTGGGATAACCAAGTGAGTAACCTAGTGAGTAACGTAGCGAGTAGCTCCTTAGCCTCGTTCCTCCCGGGCTGAGGAACTGATTCCCACCTCCTGGCTCCTCCCAGGGTGCAAAATAATAATGTTTGGTGAACTGGTGTCTCTAAATTACCCACAGGGTATGACTGCATGTGAGTGTGTATTTGGGTGTTTGAGTCCTGTAACGGACTGGCGTCCCCTGCCTTGTGCCCTATGCTGCCTGAGACAGGCTCCAGGTTCACCAAGACCTTGACTTACTGGATAAGTGGTTATGGACGGATAGATGGATGGTTGGCAGATGAATGCATGGACAGACGGATGCATTAATGCATGGATAGATGGATGAGGGATGGTGGAGAGATGAAAGCAAGGTTCATCATGACCTTGACTTACTGGATAAGTGGTTATGGATGGATGGATGATGAATGCATGGATGGATGGATGGATGGACAAATGGATGTATTAATGCATGGATGGATGGATGGGTGACAGGTGTGTTTGCGGTCCTCAGGCCTGGACCTGTCGTTGTGCCGTCCCCTCACCCATCCACACTTCTCCAAACTGTCCTGCTCCAAGCTTCTTTATCATCCTGATGGACTCCTTGGAGATCTCCCAGGCGTCCTTGTCCCAGGGCTGCTGGGCCTTCGGCTTGGCGCACGGCTTCTCCAGCTTCTGGCAGAGTCCGTCGGCATTCTCTGCGGGACGCACGGCCCCGTCACTCACACGGCCCGTGACCCCGCCCCCACGCCCCCCACCGGAGACACTTACTCTGGTAGTGCTTCACCATGCTGCTGAGGTCGGGGAAAGTGAGCCTGGGGGAGATGTAGTAGCCCCCGTTGTCGAGCGAGCGGATTTTGTAATGCTTGACCGCGCCCATGTTGTTGCTGTCCACGTCACGCACCGAGAGCGAGTAGCTTCCTGATCAGGAGCAAAGACATGGGCTTGGACCTTTTCTAACAGCACCTCAGCCCAGTTTCAAAGAGAAGGTCCATGTAAACTGTGAACCCACATCACAACAGTAGCCAAGCAGTAGGTTATGCAAGACACTTTAGAATGATTATAGTGTTTGACTGAGGAGCAAATTTCCAAAACGCACTCAGTCCACTGAATACGTTGTTGGAAATGTAAGGAAAGTTCTTCCTTGGACTACATGGGGACTGAGTGACTTTTGGTTCCTGGCACTGTCACAATGATGAGGAAGCCTGACTTTTGGTTTCTTGCAAAAAAAGGGGTAAGTTTTGGAAATTTGCTCTTCTACTATAATTGTTTCATTTGCATTGCTGGTACTATGGTCTTAATTAAGCGTCATAAGAGTAATACAAAGATCTTGATTTAAAAATGAACTAAATTTACAGAGGAAACTACTTTCCCCCTTAGCATTTTTAAAGACGACAGTCCTGTAAGGTCTTCTCAGGAAGTGGGGTCTCTGTTTAAGGGCCTTTTTGTACGGAAGCTTCCATGCATAAGGTGAGGCTGTTTCACCTTTCGATGTCTCGCTCTCTCGGATGAGGAAGGCTCCCGCCTTATTTGCTGGGGCTAAAAGCTGTCTTTCCGCGTCTTTCCTGATGATATCCTTGAAAAACCAGCTGAAATGTAACACGGAGAAGTTCAGAAACACACAATGGGCCAGAGGTGTTCACAAGTCACAAAATTAGAGTCCAAGTCGAGTCTCAAGTCTCTGACTTTGAGTCTGAGGTAAGTCTCAAGTCTCCATCGTGATTCCTATTTATACTGTATTTATACTGTTTCTCAAATATTTAACTGCCTATTTGTTTTTTCCAATTAGTAACTGATGGAACTACAGGGGAATCACCACTTGAATAGTTCATAAAGTGCTTGTGCGCCTTTGTCTCCGTTCCGTCCTCGCTGGGCCCGACAATATTATTATAATTAAATGTATTAATGGTTTATTATTAACATTAAAATAATTAATAAGAAATCATTTTTAAATGTATTTTAGTATATAATAATAATTACTGTTACCGTATATCATTGTCTAAATGTATTTTTACTGTCTATATATATGTATTTAGTTAGTGTAAACATGCACGATGCTATCACAGCGAATGCGAGGCTTAGACTGAAGCGTTACCCTTTGTTTCCGCTGAGAGATTTGCCGCGTGCCTCTGGCTGTCCCTTGTTTGCAGGGTGTGTAACAACACAATGTAGGCTGCACATAATTTACAACCCAGGTTAATTTTAAGCGGTGCCTTCTAATGTAGAATAAAACTTTGAGTAGCACTCAAAATATCCCACGCTTTGTCATATCAGGTCCGCAATATGTAGTATGGCATGTAGTACGTGGTAATGGCAAAACAGAATAGCGTGTTGCGTGTTGATACCGCCTGACGTCACGCTACTCTCCATGTCCTGAGAGTAGCCGCATATCGCGATGTGTTTAACGCCTTGACAGTTCGGGGCGAGTTATACACTCAGTGCTTCGCCTGTGTAGAAGTTTCAACAGAGCCTTAAAGACCCTAGTTGTTCACAGGTCGCTATCAACTAGTCAAGTCCAAGTCAAAAAATAACAAGCTGCAAGTCGAGTCGGAAGTCAATTTAAGAACTGGAGTCTGAGTCATACACTGCAGTCATACACTGCAGTCATACACTGCAGTGGGCCTAACAACGAAAACCACTCTTTTACAGTCTAAACCCCTATTTATTCACATGATGACATGAAGACATACAGTATTTCTAGATGAGAAGTGAGGATTAATCAATATAATATGAATATAATATAATATAATATAATATAATATAATATAATATAATATAATATAATATAATATAATACAATAAAATACAATACAATACAATACACTGTGTTCCCCAAATCACAGACTTACTCCTCCGTCTCCATGGTGTCGGCCTCGGCGATGTAATTGTAGGGGATGTAACCCACTTTCTTAGTGGTCAGAGACATGGCTTTCCACCACTCCCCATTCCTGTGAACCAATGGAAACAAGACACACAAAAACCCAATATAAAGGCAGCACCACTATGCAAGTTAGCGAAGGAAACGCCAAAGTCGGATATGGAGCTGGACAGGAAGACGGCTGTCCTCCCAGAGGTCAGATACTTCGTATTCAGACATTACAGTAAATAAAGAGCAAATACAGCGAGGATTTATGTAAGAGGACAAGCTTTTCTGTGCAGGATGTGTGGTCACTTGACAGTGAGGTATTCAGCTAACCAATGACGAGGGGCCGATTTAGGAGGCAGAGCTCAGAACCCCCGATAAGAGAAAGGTGTTTGATTTAGAGCTATTCCCTCCGGAGAACTCAACAGCAAAGGGTGGAGAACATTCACGTCATGGTCGTATTGTCCACCAGGGGACTCACCCAAGACCTCTGACACAATTCGGAGGCGGGGGGGATGGTAAATACTCACTCCTCCAGCACCTTCAGCTTCTCCCCTTTCTTGAATGCCAGGTCGTCGGGGTGAACGGCCTCATACGGGTACACAGCAACCACGATTTTCTCTGCCACAGAAAGACGTGGGTTACTCATCTCCATAAAGGGCATAATGGGTGCTCCTAAACCATGCAGAAAAAAGCCCTGTGAACCCACCTTCCATCTTCTCAAGTACTTGACCTGGCAGAAGGAGGCCATCTGAAGTTGAATTTTTCTACAAGAATAAACAAGATCCACAATGGGCAAGAAGTAAATCATTGTAGTTCATTTCCTACAAGTCCTACTAATTCCCCTGATAGAAATCTTTAGTCATTGAGATTGAAATGGAGCTGGGATACAGATGATAGCCTTTGAGTATATAAGAGTTGATAAGGGAGTCAGGGGTACAGAGGACAGTCTGAGTATATATGTGTTTATAAGGGAGTCTGGGTTACAGATGAGAGTCTTTGAGTATATATGAGTTTATAAGGGAGTCTGGGTTACAGAGGACAGTCTTTGAGTATATATGAGTTTATAAGGGAGTCTGGGTTACAGAGAACAGTCTTTGAGTATATATGAGTTTATAAGGGAGTCTGGGTAACAGAGGACAGTCTGAGTATATAGGAGTTTATAAGGGAGTCTGGGAAGCAGAGAACAGTCTTTGAGTAATCAAGTTAATAAGCCGTCTTGGGCTAGAAGTGTTACTGGAAAAATCATGATGTCATATGTTACACATATGTTCTTTGGTTCATCTCACAGCAAAGACATTTACAGTAACCAGTGAGGTTCCTCTTTTTCAGAAATGACCAGTACTACCAGGTCCAAGCGTGGGTGCCTGATGTGTGTGTGGATGACAGAGGGGTTCCTGTAATTTTAACACCATGATGATAATATCACAGAGAATAGATGACAGACATAAATATTTAATGAATCATGAATAATATGAAAATAAATACAAACCGTATTTTGTTAAATAAATATGGGGTATATGTTATCTTGACAATAGGTGAAATGGTAAGAACCAAAGTTCAGAGTAATAATTATGTAATATGATGGCTGTATGAGATATGCTCGTGGGAGTTTTACTTAGACAAAAATATTCTGAAGACAAATGAAAAATGATTAGCTTAGGGAGATAACCAATCAGATTGAGGAGGAGGCGGGGCCAACCAATCAGATCTTTTGGTCCTGCCTCTTCTATTTGCTTGGACCTACCTCCACCGCAATGTGATTGGTTATCACACACAAGCATGAGATACATTCTGCATTACTGGGAACGGCGGGCCTGCAGGGGGGACACTTCCCCCACCGGTCTGTACATACGGGCTGGTGCTTCTTTGTTTCAGCTTCGGTTCCCTGCTCCCCGGATAGCTTGGACTTCTGACAGCCCATGTTTCCTGTCGGAACAGGAAGGAGGGTGTTAATGACAAGCTAGGCGGTGGAAACGCAAAAAGAGCCTGCAGCAGTTTTAAACAATAATGGAGTTAAAAAGGGGTTATGGGCTCGAATCCCGTGACTGCTCAGCATGGGCAGAGCTTGCATGCTCTGCTTCATGTGGGTCTCCTCCTGTGGTTCAAACAGTTGGTCTATCTGGTGTTTTTAAATTGCCCAGTGAACATGCCCTATGATGAATTGGCATTGTGCCCACAGTGTCCCCTGCCTTGTGCCCCTTGATTGACTGGCATTCTGTCCAGGGGGAAGCCTTTGTTCTCTCCAAGCTACTGTAACCTCGGTAGGGTCTACAGCTTGCTGTGGATCAAAGAAACACATATGCAGGAGGGGGCATCAAACTCATACCCTTATGTCTGCGTAAAATGGAAAGGTGAGAACAGAATAGTGCCACTAAAGTCACTTTATTGATCCCCGTGGGAAAACTGTCTTTTTGCCTACGCCATCCTGCTCTCCATGAGACACACAGATTCATACAGGAGTGAGTGCAAAGCTCGGGGCTTAGATTGTAGGGTCAGCCACCCTCTAGCACTCCAGGGCCAACGGGGGATTAATTGCATCGCTGAAAGGCCCAGCCAAGGCACCAGCCCTGAGAGCTGAACCGACAGCCTTCCAATCACATCTAACATGTCACTCTGGTAACATTATGTGTGTGCATCCATGATTCATGCTTTAATACATTACCAAGAAGAGCTTTATTTAAGAGTTTTCGTCAGGGAAATCCATTTTCCAACATCTTGCATAGGGGGTCTGGACCCTATCCCAGGAAGGAGTACATTCATCACAGGGCTCATAGACTAACACTGGAGTCAATTTAGAGACGCCAATTAGCTTAACAGAACATTTTTGGAGGAAATTGGAGTAGAATCCCACACAACACCGGGAGGACAACCAACTACCACACACACACAAAGGCAGGATTCAAACCCCCAACCCTGGAGGTGTGAAGCAACAGCGCTACACACTGCGCTGTTACTGTTAGGAATGAATATGCACAGTGGGCTACTTCATTCACATCATCATTATACTAGCAGTAATAGTCCAGTGGGTTGGGACACTGTGCCTGTAATCAGAAGGTTGTTGGGGTCAAATCCCAGCATTGGTCACTGAAGCCTTAAGCAAGGCCCTTAAACCCAACTGCTTTAGGGGTTATCTGACCCTGATTTCTCAATTGTACACTGATTTTAAATAAATGTAATTAGTGTAGCCTATAGTACCTTTGACTTAAATGATTCCTTGTTACAGAATAAGAAACAGAGATAATACATTTGGATGTGCTGCTGCAGAAATGAGTTTAAGGATACTATCCCCATAGCAACCCCGAAACTCAGATGGCAAAACTAGAGATATATATTTTGTATTATAAGCAGCAAGAGGCAGAGTCTGTGTGGGTTATATGTTACAATCCAGGGTGCGCGCAACCATAAGCGCAGTGTTTGTAATTATCATAACGAGCAAATGTCACAAGAATATATGATCAAACGAGTAAACAAACCACCGAAAAAAAAAAACTGTATACATGCAAATAAATGTATATGGTCAGAAAGTGATGGGTAGCTACTCGTTTGAAATTACTTTGCAGTGATTAAAAACCGTCCCATGATAGGATGTTCTCTGCACCTTTACGAGGCACGATTTGATAACACAGGATAAATGCCTGACCTGATGCTACCAGTCTGACCAATTCTTTTTGGTCCCCAGGGAAAGTTCTGGGGCGTTTCTTCCGGCAGTGTTAGTATTTATCAAAACTCTGAGTGGTTTGCACCATTGAGGGAACATTTGTGGATTAATCCTACATAACTGACAAAAAAAAATTAAATACTAAATTTATGGACTGGAGCTGCTTTACTGTTAGAGCTGGGTGTCTCGACAAGAACTGTCTTCATAATGGATGAAACTGGGAAGCTATTTAACAAAAAACAATTAGGTTATAATATCCACCTGTTTTGATGTTGTACAACTTGCACTCCCAACGTGAAACGTTACACCCCTCTCGTGCACCCAGACATAAAACCCACCGGATGTTAGTCTGCTCACCGCAGTCAAGTCACATTATGATATGTGGAAATCAAGGGCCCAGCAGTGAAATCACCAGCGACACGCACAGCATCCCATCCTGCCGGGCCACACGCTGCCCCCTTGGTACATGGCAACACAAACACAAGTACCTGCCCAGTCCAAAATAAAGGCCGCGACAGCAGACTCTCACTGTGCCCAGATATAGGGACTCGACATAAATATTCAAGGTTAATGCCACTGTTTGTAGAGTCATAGGGTGACATTCTTACCATTTAAAATACCCCCCACCCCTTTCTCAAGATTCAAGATTCATTATTTGCCTTTTGTGCACCAGTACACAGGAATTCTTACTCACTTATATTGCTGTAAATCACTATCTCGATATTTTAGCTTACTGTATCGATACTCGATATATATCAATATTATTCGATTTTTTTAAAAAGTCATTTTTCAGAAATTCAGAATTAATTATGGTTTTATTTATTCACATCAATGTTTCCCGACTGGAAAACGATAAGAAGTGCTGAACATAATATCACAAATCATATTAGAAAAAACTGACTAAATGAAATAAAAACGGATTGTTCAATTAAATGCTTATATTGAAAATGACATCAAATAACATTTTTTTTTTCAGTGTTGTTTTGTTTCACATGAAAAAAAAGAATTACTAGTGACTGAATTGTAAAAAGTAGGCTGAAGGATTTGTGCAAGGATGAGAACTTCAAGATATGAAATAAAATAAAACAAAAATAAAACAATTTCAGTAAAAAAAAAAAAATTGGATCCTGCAGCTACTGCTGCTTGGACCCCTAATAATAGGACCTAAACAGTTAATTCATTTGTAGCCCAGCAGCGGAATCAATAGTTTTCCTGCAAGACGAATGTAACGTGTTCCTCGGGTTTGGTGCCTTCGGGCGTATCCGCTGTCGGCTTGGCCCACTTCTGTTTGGTGAGCATTACTGGCACGCGAGGAGCACGGCACTTCTGATAGGCGAGCATGACTGGCACGCGAGGAGCACGGCACTTCTGATAGGCGAGCATGACTGGCACGCGAGGAGCACGGCACTTCTGATTGGTGCGAATCACTGTCACACAAATAGTACAGCGTGGATTTTTAAAACTCACGAAATTTTAAACCCTGGGTCAGACATGCTGTATAATGCATACCCTAAATCTCAGTTTCAAATCGTGATTTCAGTTTCAAATCGATAAATGGCCATAGTATAGACTCAGATCCTGCAGTGATGTCATTCATATACCATGTATGTGTATATATACGAGTGAAAAATGAGAAGAAAAAAAAGTTCAATCGTAATTGGTTAAAGCGGTGGGGGGGAGGGGAACGTGCGTATTTTTGGTCATGTGACCATAAATTCAGGAAACATTCATCATTTCTAGCTTGCTGTGGTGGACAGAAGCACATGTAAGAGCTGGTAAGTAGTTTTTTTTTTAACAAAAAAATGTTTTTTGCTTTTCAAAGTAAATTTACTACATGTCAGGAATAATGACTGTTATTCCGAAGCACATTTTTCTAGGTGTTAAAACAAATATTATACGTGTTGTTGATCTGATAATGCATTAAACCATGTGAAACATTTTGCTAAGGATTAGCCTGAACTGCTAAGATAGACCATTTTTTTTCCAAAATGGTGGCTATGGGGCAAAGTGAACCAAGGGTTGTGGGGTAAATTGACTCATTGGTTCAACCTACCCCACAACAAGTCAACAAAGTGCAGTCATTGCTCTGAAGTAGTACTATACAACTGGTTTGGTTTTTCATGGAAATGGAGAGAGCAGCTGTTGATGTGACACGCGGAAAATCCATCAGATCAGTGGCAAAAGACAAAAATATTGGCAGGTCAACACTGAGCAGATACATAAAAGGAGGAAGGCAAAGAAAGTAACAGCAGTAGGATACAGTGGAACAGCAGAAGCAAAGAGGATCTTCACAGACGAGGTAGAGGAGGAGCTTGTGGACCATATTAAGAAGCTGGCTGACCAGTTCCACAGCCTTACTCCGAAGAAATGCTGTGAACTGGCAAACAGAAACAATATTCCTGTCCCCAAGAACTGGTAAGAGAAGGGTTTAGCAGATAGGGTGTGCAAAAAAAGTACATGACGTGAGTAGGTAAACACAGACTAATGTATCTTGTCTGGTTCATACAGAAGCATAGGATAGACAGAAAATAAAAAATAAAAACACAAATTTTTAGGTCGAGATTGTTTCAAGAATTTTATGGCAGGCCATCATCTCTCCTGCCGTATTCCTGAAGCACCATCTTTGGGAAGGACTACAGCTTTCATTGAACTTATGGTCGGCTACAATTACATTGGCTTGGTCGAGAGCCTTGAAGGCAATGAAGTCAGCGCAAGATTTCTCAGAAGAATTCGGGGGAAATCTGGCAGTGAGAAGCCCACCTCTGCGTTCAAGGAAAAGGATGAAGCATCTTTTCCACTGAGTGAGGTTTTGAAGAAGCCACCTCATCCTCAAAAGGCTGGAGAGACAGCGAGGAGGGAGCAACAGTTCATTTTTCCCTGCAACCTTGATGATTGGAATATTGAGTAACTGAGTTTAGTATTGTTCAATTCAGTTTGGAAACAATCTGTGGGTTGTTCTCAGAAGCTCACATCTGTGAAAATGTTTGCAAGCTTAGTTATGCCCAGGTTACTCATGTTTAAGCTTAAAAAACTCAGTGGGTCAGTTTGGCCGCAGACACACAATGACTTTGATCGCAACGGGGTAAGTTGAGCCAAAGCAGCACTTTTTTTGAGAGATCATTTTAATTCGGGCAGATTTGTCATAGATACATTCCAATCATTTCATTTGATGGGAGAAACCCTGAAATAAAAGCACGTTTTCATTTTACTTCCATCTCGTTTTATTTCCCTGTAAGAACTTTATAAGTAAAAATTGCTTCAACTTACC